AGAATCATGGAATGGCTCGGATTGGAAAGGACCTTAAAGATCACCCAGTTTCACCCCCAACACGGGCAGGGGCACTTTCCACCAGACCAGGTTGCTCCAGGCCCCATCCAACCCAGCCTTGGACATTTCCAGGGATGGGGAAGCCACAGCTTCTAACCAAAAGTTCATTCTTTGGTTAACTGGCCAATATTCTTAAGGCAAGGTTATGTAACTTTTATCTAGCACTTGGTTGTTGCTGTTGGGACGACAGAGCAATATAAGCAAGCAGATGATTGTCATGATAACAGCAAGAGACACTTAGTCACCAAGCACAAAATCTTATCAGGCTGTTAGAAATAGCTAATATGGAGAAAAATATAGATTCCGCTGAATTTCTCTAAATTTAACTCTGTTCTAAACCAAGGTTTTGGATCACAGCCAGCAAGATAAAATATGCTATTATTACCCCAATATGGTAATGAAATTTGTCAGTCGAAAAGAAACTATAACATAATCAGCTCAAGGAAAATGAAACTGTGTCATATCCATGCTGATATGTTCTCCCCAGAACTCACCCACAGAGTGGCAAAATAGTCTATTTCATTCTGTCTCCAGTGTTTGATAAGAAATAACAAGTGTATTCAGGCAGAATATTCTTAATAAACTTCTACAGTGTTTATATTTTTACCTCTACTACTCCTGTCAGAGACATTTGGGGGTGTGATATTGTACATCCATCCAGCAAAGATTAACATTTGAATAAGATTTGCCTGAGTAAAACAATGAGACCTGAACAGTTATAAACATGCAAGACAATTTTTCTTGAGTACTCATGGATTACCAGTATCCTGGATTATCCATGGAAAAAAATACTCCATTAAAATTCTTTCTCAAGCCAAGAGAAGAGGGAAAGGGGGCCGAGAGAGCAGAATTTCCATCCATGGATGATACAACAAGCAAGTCATACCTTCCTTTAGAAACAAAGGTTCTGGCAGCAGGGCGTGGAACAGAAGGGGGTATTTCTGCTACAGTTTCCTTATAGGGTGACACATGGACTAAAAACAATGGGAAGGATTTGACTGAACAACTTCATTGCCCTGTCTACCCTATCACAGCCTCACACATTGGCAAGAATAACATGATGAACTACTGCAGTCTGGGGAGAAAGAGAAATTGAGGTACCACCTGCTGCTGTGGGTATTTATTAGACTTATTACAACTTCCTGCTTAATATTAGCATGAACTGTAATCAATTCAGCCCAGATTCAGATTTTTTAGGGTAAATACTGAAGTGAACTTTCCAGCTTATGCTACAGAAACTTATCACAAATAGGATCTATATTTTCTTACTATCCCAAATGAGATTTCTTTCATCCCACAGTGAAGTCCAAGGTTTACTAGGAAATATCAGGGGCACCACTACTTCTCTTGGGCTGTACAGATATCCTCTACAGAAAGTTAAAATTCTTCCTTCTGGAAATTGTGCTTTAAAGACTGCTGCCTCTGACCTTGCAAACATACATTCTAATATTCCTATTCTACAGATACACATGGATTTGCAAATATTTTCAAACAGGACAACAAAATACATGATGGTTGGCAAGGTGGTGTTTGGTCCAAGGTTGGACTTGATCTTGGATGTCTTTTCCAACCTTAACGATTCTGTGATGCCATTAAAATACAGAGTGCTGACACTGAATGAAGTTTGGAACTGATTATAAAGATAAGAATCAAATTACTGAGATGTTAAGCAAGATAGAGCTAGCAATTGTTAAGATGCACAAAGAACTCCATGTCTGTGCAACAAATCTCTTCTCTTGTATTACTTCAAATATCTCCAGGAAATAAAAAAACAACCAAGCAACTAGAACAGAATGACTCTGTCCTGTGCAGAAGGAGCTCATGTCGGCCCCTGGGTGCACTGCTGGACCAATTCTGGTTCAAGTTTCAAAACAGTGAATGATTGAGTCAAAAGAAATGGGAACGACAGAACAAACAAGAAACACCACAAAACTACTCTGCACTGTTGTCTGAGCTTCACTTAAAGGCAAAGTCAGGATAAATCATCTGTGGGTAGTGGAGAAATGAACTACCATCAGTTCTGTCACTTGCACTTTCAAAAATTCAATCAGATTTATTTTCCTGAAGTAGCAGTTCAGCAGTGAACTCAAAAGTACAAAACCAAATAATGGCACTCTTAAGTTATGAAATATTCAGTGACAAAGATGCAACCTTCTGTTTACAAATGGTTTGAGTTATTTGATATTCAAGGAAACAATCTCAGTATAGAAATCATATGGCCAAAGAAAAAAATCAGAACTTCAATCTCATGTTTATATTAGCACTACAGTATGTTCAGACAGAGAGACATCTAAGAATCTCTTTTATTTTTCACTGTTTACATTGTTTTGTTACTATTTCCCAGCTTGGGCAATAAACAGCTCAAGCTATTCAAGAATTTGATGACCTCTGTACTTTTCCTGTAACACTTTTCATCTGTTATGTCCAGGTACTTTGCCTAGGTCAGTATTATTGTCCCCCTCTTAGTGACGAAAAAATAATCTAGATTTAGAGGTAAAATGATAATGGTCAAGGCTAGAGTGCTGTGCAGGTGGAAATTTCAGTATCTTATCCATGTGACTGAATATCTGTGCACGGAGAGCTCCATCCCAATGGCCTAATTTTTAGGCAGACGAGGATGTCTCCATGACAATGGGTGAAAGAAGTGAAGTATGAAACAGGGAATCCCCCTTGTAGTCTCTGCAATGAAGGAGGTGCAGGTGCCAGAATGGGTGGTTGGGCAGTTTGGCTCTGGGTACAATTTACACTGCTCTGTTCTCGCACAAGCTGTACGTAAAAGAGAAGATAAAACCACTTGCCTGGGAAATAAAAACATAAGTGTCCTTATCTGATGCCCTTGGCCATGCAATGAGAACTGGACAAATTTCCCATGGCTCAAGCTATGAATGGGAAATTCTGCTCACACTCCCCTTCATACATCAGCTCAAGTTGACCCTCAGCTCAAGCCCATGGGCTTCAGCAGGTGACTAATCAAGATACCTCCCCAACAAAGAGAAAAATAAACTTTTGTTCCTCCTGTTAGCAGAGCCACTTGTTTTCATGCCCTGACTGTCCAGGCCATGCTGAGCCTGATAGATCAAAGATTTGCACTCACTAATTCCACATTATCATTTTTATCCATAAGGAGTTTTTTCTTTTCTCTTTCTTCTTTTCCAGTTTATCCAAAGAGCAAGCTGGTGCACATTCTTATAAACCTCTAATTAACAAGTTGAAAAGACATTTTTCTGGCAACGCTTGACCTTTAAGCATTCTGTACGAATTTATTGATACAAGCAGGAACAATAATTTAAAATATTATTTTATGAGTGCTGGATAGCAGTACTTTTGTAAAGCTAAATGAGTTTCTTATTTCTACATTTACAGCTCTAAGCATTTTAATGAAAAAGGTCCATAAAAGTCAAAGATATTTCTGAATCTCTCCTCTGTCTACTTGGGCTTTTCTGGTATCACGTATCACCATCTTTTCTATTAATGCCTTCCATTGTAACTACAGGAATAACCAACAGGAGTTGGATTCAATGATCCTTGTGGGTCCCTTCCAACTCAGCATATTCTTTGAAGCTCCTATGATTCTCCTGCAATAAATCAACACCATCCCAGGATAAAGGCTCTCAAAGACAACTGAGGGATAGAAGTGTGGGGAAAGTCACAAGTGGAAGACATAAAAAGTGAAACTAAGAAATATGGTATGGACAGAGAATAAGAATTCAAAGGATACAGTCTAGAGATGGTCTGAGGATAGAAGGATGCAGCAGCAGAAACAAAGATGAGACCTACATAATCAGTGACCAGACTAAGGGCCATACATTCAGTTTCCAGCTATTATGTTATGACTTATTTAGTCAATGTTTCCAAATCTAGGATTATTTGTGATTTAAGCAAGCTTCTGCTTTTCAGTCCTGAATGAATACACACACACACACATATATATACATATGTATGTGTCTAGATATTGTATCTCTATTGAAAAATATTTTCATTTTACTCATTTTGGGTACGTACATTTGTCAAACCATTGCTATGTTCGCTTTCAATTATAAATTGTTTTCCTCCCTCCTTTAGATGAACTAACAAATGCTTAAGGACTTATTGCTACAATTCATTATCTGTAAAAACTCATTGCAGAGCTTGTGTCCAAGAGCAGTTAAAGATTAGATCACAGATGTAAAGCTGTTATGGGACATAACTATTCTCCCATTCCAGACTTAAACCAGGATAAGTAAAATCACTCCAGTCAATCACTGAAGAGAATCAGACTCAACCAGTAACAGAAGGTTAAAGAGGCACACAGTTCTACAGCATGTTATCAAAATGAGAGTTTAACACGGGAACATATGGGTTTGTTGCTTCTCAGCTGAACAGTTCAATTATTTG